GGAATTACAATTCCAAAGCAAATTATATAGTAATTCTAAACTGATCTGGATGCAACCAACAAATCAATATCAACACTACATAGTAAAAAAAAAAAGTGAAAAACATTATCTATAAGAAAAATACATCTGGATGTTTCTTACTGAAATTAGATTTCTGATCTCATTACAGAGTTTAGAAAAGCTTTTTGTTTCTGACTTTATAAACAATCAACATTCATCTAGGCTTCCAATAACATCTGTTCTTGTCCCTGCATTCTTATGCCTATATTCTTGTGCCTGTCATAAGTTCACATGATAAATGCTGACAATAATACAGTAATGCAATTAATAGCAAATGGATTTTAGAAGGTATCATTTTATTTATAAAATAAGCAAATGATTTACTGACAAGAAAATAATATCTCTCTCTATACACACCAAGGTAAATATACACACATACCACTACAAAGTTGCTCCAAAAAGTTCAAAGGAAATGGAGCTACAACGCAGGTTAATTTGGCATAAAACTCTTTAAATCCATTTGCAATTTTCATAATATATAATTACCAAGAACTTCTTTAAAAGATGTTCAACATTTTTATTGAAGATAAATCTATAGTTTATTAGGGACTCAGCAAGACTTGTCTTTCAAAATTAGTGCGAGATATGTGAACTATGACATCTTAATATTAATGGTGATACATTAAATTTGGAGACATTAATTAATTGAGGTAAATAACAGGTGGAGCCAGAGAGTGGTTCTTAATCTACTGTTTGCATGTCCTCAGAGGGTGAATCTCATGAAAGAATATACATTTATTTGAGTTTAAGTTTCGCCCATTTATTCATTTTTTCTTTCACCGTGCAATCCTGTTTATGTATACCATGATCAGCATCCACAGATATGGCACTAGGGAACCAAACCCTGAACTGTAACCTCCAACCTGCAAGCTGAAATCAATCTGTTCCTTCCCATGAAGCTGCCTGGCGGTATTTTACTTAAAGCACAATAAGAAGACCTATGCATAATTAGTTGTATTAAATGATCACTTCTATTTCTGGAATTTTATAACACAAATACTTTCCTGAAATCTATACTCCAGAGAAATGAGCAGTGACTTGGGTAGCATTTAATATGGCAAAGCAATCAATGAGGTATTTCCAGATGATATAAAAATAACTAGTAGGATTTAAGCATTTGCCTTGTAAGAGATATTAATCTAAATGCAGAATTCCATTTAATTCTCAGAAAGTATATGATATAGGCATTGTTACTGCCACTTCAACTGAACATGTGAATGCTGCAATGAGACATTAATCAGGTGCTCAGATTCACAGCTAATCAGTGTCTCTGTGAGATGATGAGAACCAATCCAAAGCCAGTGTCTAGGCTTTTCATCCCTGCTCCTCTCTGGCTTGCCACTTTAGCTTTATCAAACAAGATTTGGTCTTAATCCATGGAATAATTATAAAACTTTCTAAAAATCAGTTTCATAAACTAACTTTTGATTTTTTGTTTTAATGGTTTACTGGTTTAATTATAAGGCACTTCTGATTGGGCCCAGTGGCGTGGCCTAGCGGCTAAAGTCCTCACCTTGAATGCACCAGGATCCCATATAGGCGCCGGTTCTAATCCCGGCAGCTCCACTTCCCATCCAGCTCCCTGCTTGTGGCCTGGGAAAGCAGTCGAGGACGGCCCAAAGCCTTGGGACCCTGCACCCGCGCAAGAGACCCGGAAGAGGTTCCCGGATCCTGGCTTCAGATCGGCATACCATTGGCCGTTGCACTCACTTGGGGAGTGAACCACCAGATGGAAGATCTTCCTGTCTCTCCTCCTCTCTATATATCTGACTTTCCAATAAATAAATAAATCTTTAAAAAAAAAAAAGACACCTCTGATTTTCTCAGGAAAATGGGTATTATTTGGTGTTTCCAGTTGAAATTTGTTCAATCGAAGTGTGGTATCCCAGAAACCTCTATGGGTTTCTTACAATAGAAATACAGGCTTACTAAGGACCTCTTTTGGAAATACTAGATGTCACGATTGCTTTAGGAATGAGACAAAGTCATTATTTGCTGGTTCTCCAGTAATTTACTTTGAATTTGTTAAATTCATTGATGTGTGAACTGCTTATCAAAGCTTGATAAATAGCTTATAAATCACTTTGAAGTTGGCAGAAATAAATATTAATGAGACCATTTGCAAGGAATTTAAAACAAGTTTATTCTCCTTTCCCATAAGTTAAAAGGAGAATCTGTCGTTTTATTTAGAAAAGTATCTACAGTTTATTAGTAAGAATGGACTTTTTTAAGAGTTTAGTATTTGTTATTGAAAAAATCAGACTATTTTCTGAAAAAAGGGAGTGCTCTTGGAAAATCCACCAAAGAATTCCATTTGACAATAATTTTGTGTAAGACTGTGTTTGAAAAATCAAACCTGTTGCATGAATGATGACATAATAAAGTATATTGTGTACCATGATCTGCTCCTAACAGGCCATAGAAAAGGAAAGAGCAAAGCGAGTTCCTCAGGTGCCATGTTTCCACTGATGCCAACGCCTTAGCAATGCTGCCCACACACACACCACCACTGCTGTCCTTTGAACAGACGACAAACGAAAGCAAAGCTTTTCAGTATCTTGCCTATGTTGCCTATGTCACACAGACTGGAAACCATGGCAACATATTACACACCTGTATGACTATAGTATGCGAAATAGATAAGACGGATACGTTTCTATTACATGTTAAGGACAAAACAGTCTTAGGTTTCTGCAAACACATAACAAACAGTAGCATAAACATCTCCTTAGGAGAGCTTTTGACCTCACAGGGAAGGTACCTGTGTCAGAGAACATGAATTTGAGATTCAGTTCTGGCCCCACACTCTAGATTCTTTCTAAAGCAGATTCTGAAAAGCACTGGTGATGGCTCAATTAAGTGGGTTCCTGAATCCCACGAAGGAGGTCTAGATATTGTCCCTGGATCTCTGCTTCAACTCAGCAGGGTTCTGGCAATTACAAGCATTTGGAGGAAGTGAACCAGCAGATGGAAGCACTGTCATTCTTTCAAAGAAATAATTGAAAAAAAAAAAAACACTACTCATTTTCAAATATTAGAAAGACCAGGTTCTGAGATTTTTTAAACTGTGGATATCAAACTAATGATCAAATGTGGACTTGATTTCCGATTTCTGTCCCTGTCTTTCCTTCTAGAGATTTTAAATAGCATAATATGGTGCCTTATTTCCTGTTTCCTAACTATGAAATATTAGAAACCTTGCCCATCGTGTGTACCCTCGCTTGAGTTGGTTTCCTATATCCCTTGCAATGGTTCTGGCCCACGTTTAATTTTCCTAAAAGGACAAGAAATAACAAAAAACATCAGGATCATGTCCTCATTCCATTTCTCATTTTCTGTTTCTGTAACTCTGTTTTTCAAATACATGCAGCAATAGATCATAAATCAAACAAATCAAACAAATGGGCAGCATTGTGGCATAGAGGGCTGTCACCTATGATGCCAGAATCCTATATAAGCACCTGTTCAAGTCCCACCTACTCCACTTCAACCCAGCTCCTTGTTAATGTATGTAGGAAAGCAGGTGAACATGGTCCAAGTGCTGTGTCCCTGACACCTTCATGGAAGACCAAAGCAAACTCCTGGTTCCTGGTGTCAGCCTTGTTCAGTCCTAGCCAATGCAGCCATTTGGAGAATGAAAGAATGAATGGGAAATATTCACCCACACATCCTGTCACTGTTTAACTCTCTAACTCTTCCCTTTTGAATAAATAAATAATCTTTAAAAAGCAATAGGATGATTATGTCAGCTCGTGGATTTTATTCAATTTGGCACATGAGCTGAATGGAACAGTGAGCAGGCATCAAAAGCCACTTCACACTTTACCCATGAAGTGCCACAGTGGTGCACTTGCCTAACATGGGTAACATTTTGACTTTTCATGAAGCAGCATGTGGGTACCATACAGGCCCACACTGGCCTTGAAAATATAAAAATGTCAGCAAGAGAAAGTGGACATATTTTCAGACATGAAGATTTTCATAAACAATTTCTATCAGGAATGCACTAAAGGGTTTGGCATTTGGAGCTAATGATGAGAATGACCGTTTATCAATTAAGCCAGCGCTGTGGTAGAAGACGCATCTTGTTGGCACCAGGGAACAACAATTTTTCTCAGAAGACTCAGAATGACAATCAGCAGCATGTCCTGCTTCACTGTAGATGATTGAGCACTGTTACCAAGAACACCCATGAATGGTTAAGAAAATGGCCCTACAGAGAAGTGACAGAAATAGGGAAATCTAACATTCTTCAACTTGATAATTTTGTTTCAAAAATGTGTTAGTCTCCTAGAAATAAAACACTAGAACAGCATGCATGCCACATTTAAAAAAAAAATCATCACACCATCACAGTGAAAGATTCTGAAGTCTCAGATGAAACACTCTCCAGGACCAAGTTATCAAGTCTAAACTTCATGTATACACAACTAACATTTGCTATTTCCCAGCTAAATAGCTCTAAACATCTAACAGTAACTACCCATGTTTTGAGTGTTTGGTACTTCACAGGATGGTTTGCATACATAATACTATCAATCCAAATATAACACTTCAAAAGATGCATGTTACTATTTCTTTATCAGTGAGAATGTTGAAGCTCAAAATGGCTAAAGACTTGTGTGACATCTTGTATTTGATCAATGCTAGTTATAGATTCAAATCTCTCATTTCCTAATTTAAATCTGAGATCTTACCTCACTAGAATAGAATAGGACAGAAACGGAACTGAGCCAAAATTTTGCTGTAAGATATAATCATTTTCATCAAATATATCAATTCCTTTTCAAACTTTTTCCCAAGGTAAAAATTTATCATACTGCCACACTTTCAACATACATAACAATGTGCTAATGATCAACAAAGCTGTTACACTATAAATGGTGGCTAATCTTCTGAGTTCTAAGAAATCAGCTGGTAAATGTAGAGAAGCTGCTTACCTGTTCCAGTAACTGTGGTCCATTGAGATGAGCCTGCAAAATGGCATCATTCACAAGCAGGTGGAAGTTCAGCAGCACATGCTCAATGTCATAAGTCCCACGCATGGCATCTGACAGCTCTTCCAAGGACCGGATATAAGCATGCCAGTGTGGGTTAAGTTCTGCCATGTTAGCGAGGCAGCCTCTCACAACATTAAGGCAATACCCCATGCAGGGCTTACTGAGAGTCAAGCCCTGGCAGTGGGGGCAGTACTGCATCTTCAGGAGGGCTCTGCCACACTCTTTGGAGAAGCGTAGGTGGTCTGTGGTGTTGATGACTTCAATGCCTAGATTGAGTGCCTGCAGGAAGGTGCGGCTGGGCAGCAGCGACCTCCCCATCTGTCCCATTACTCTTCTTGGAATATTTCCAAATGGACTAACCTCTCGACAAGCCATGCGAACGCATTCTGAATATTCCAGGGAACTGTCAGTCACGTCGGGGTTAATGAGGTGATTGTAGACCAGAGGAAAAAGACTATCAAAAAATCGGTTCACAAATTCTTCGAGATTAACATCCACACCAAATACATAGAGCCCCACATCCGTGAAGAATTCCTGAACTGAAGCAGCGGCCTCCAACGCCATGTTCCTGTAGGTGTTGCAGAAGAGGATGCTGGTGTAATTTTCTGCTTGCTTGATGAGAGTTTCAAGAGTTTCTGTAATCAAGCAAAGAAAAAGGAGGAAATGATTTGGTATTCATGCTAAAGCAGCTCTGGAGAATTCACGATTTTAATGCATCGAGCTAACCTAAAGAGCTAAGGCGACTACACAAAATCTAGCTTTCCAAGGATGATGGTTTGCAACAATGGCCACTGTAAATAACATGCAAGTTTTATAGAGATAGAGTTCCTAGAGTCAAAGTCTGCTGAACATACATTAATCAAAAATAAGTTAACATTCATGGTGGTTTCTTTTTTTATTCTATAGTTATTCATATCCCAGTAATGATAAAAAATGTTGTCACTGAGAAATGTATTTCACAGCCTGAGTTCATTATTTATAAGCAGCAATGACATTCAATGCTTGCTTCACCCCTGCTGCAATTTTGTAGTTTTGTCCTTTTTTATCCAGAATGAAAGTTAGATAACAAATCAGTTACTTCAGAGAGGCTAATTTCCCAAAGAAACATGTAACAATTCTCAAACTTCTTTATTTTTTATTTTTTTTTTATTTTTTATTTTTATTATTATTTTTTTTTATTGGAAAGGCGGATATACAGAGAGGAGATACAGAGAGGAAGATCTTCCGTCCGATGATTCACTCCCCAAGTGAGCCGCAACGGGCCGATACTATGCCGATCCGAAGCCAGGAGCCTCTTCCGGGTCTCCCACGCGGGTGCAGGGTCCCAAAGCTTTGGGCCGTCCTCGACTGCTTTCCGGGGCCACAGGCAGGGAGCTGGAAGGGAAGCGGGGCTGCCGGGATTAGAACCGGCGCCCATATGGGATCCCGGGCGTGCAAGGCGAGGACTTAACCACTTGCGCCACCGCGCCGGGCCCAAACTTCTTTATTTTTTAGCATTTTCAAAATCAAAATAAATAATATTTGACTACCAAACAACCAGTAAATTATTACACCATGCTGATCACTGGAAAATAAATGATATAATTTGATGAAACTATTGTGATAAGCCTTCGATTATAACCCACTGTTCCGATCATCTTATGTTCCAAGTTTTACTCTGCAATATACTGCATTTACTATGTAACAGAAGTCAATTTCCTCTTAAAGTTCCAAGAACAGGGGTGAATGTTTGGCACAGTAATCAAAGTACAGCTCGGAATGGGCACATTCCTTTACTGGAGGTTTGGCATCACGTCTGTTTGCTTGCAAATAACGCCCCCCTGCGGGGAAGCAGGTTTTAGTCCTGACACAGGCTCAGCTATGGTGGACATTTAGATGGTGAAGCAGTGGATGAGAGACCCACTAGTTCTCTCTTTTCTCCCCAAACCTGCTTACCAATACAATAAAATTTTAAAATGAAGAGGCAAGAATAATTTATTTATGCAATGAGAGAAAATCAAGAAATGTGACAGAATAATCAGCAAATGATATTTCAAAATGGTGACAGTGATGAACCACTCTGGACACCCCAACAGTTATGTTTTACAACTGGCCTAAGTAAGATATAATTAATCATAAAATATAGTCAATAACGTTATTTCCCATAGCTCCAACCTTACAGTCATTTTTAATTAGGTTGCTAATGATCAGACAGTAATCCAGTAATCAAATCATTGTCTGAGTTTATAATTTTTAAAAATATGGAAAAATATAAAGCTGAAGTTCAGAATTACTCATGAGGTAAAACTATGTCATAACTACACCTGTAATTTAACAAAAGACATTGAACACATTGTCATAAAGAGTACAAATGACTTAATGTTGTACATTATGTTTTATTATTTATTTCTTGTAATGCTTATTACATAACTAAGGGAGTCACAGATCCATTCAGTCCTCTAATTAAGATGGAGAGGGACAGGGTAGAGGAGCAGGGAGTGAAGAAAAAGCCCCTGGCCTCTTTTCTTGGACCACAGGTGGTTGGTTCACTGTTTACAAACACAGGTAACAAGGAAGAGTAGCCTTCCATGGGTGACTCCTTTCCCAAAAGCCTGTAACTGCCAGTGCTACATGTCAGGGCAAAATCTGCAGCAAGGAACTCTGAGCCTCTCATGTTCAGCACCAGGGACACAAGTATTTGCACCATCAACCACTGCTTCCTGACCAGTTCAGAACAAAGCTGGATTAGAAGGATGGAGTAGCCAGGACTGGGACTAAGCAGTGGAGGCAGGCAGCTCATGCAGTGCCTCAATTCACTGAGCCACAAAATCGGCCCAATGTCACATATTCTGACTTCAGTCTGATGTTAATTCACACTGGGTTCAAGACTTTCACATGATGTATGAAGTTTCATCCATCTTCTAATCAACAATAACAGGTTTTAAAGACTTTTGTAATACAGAGCTCTGTCAGCCAAGAGGATAACTAGTCAGGATCCCTGTACTCTGTGCATTTCTGGTGCCCTCTAGAGTATACACTACTTACTGCCTAATGACAGGAAAAACTGAACATGGGATAGTCAAAAAGGCACCAATTGAGGCTATTAGCTCGGCCCAGTAAGATAATTTGTTTTGCCCCTACCCCACTTCAACACCCCATCCCAGATCACCTTGGCTGCATGGACAAAGTTCAGATTACCAAGCCTCTGAAAAATGAATTTCCAACCCAGCAGGTCTATGTTGGTCCAAGAATGTGAAAACATTGCAATTGCATTTAAGCATAAAATGCTCTAGGGTGGTTCAGCAAGCTCTGGCCCTTAACACTCTGACACCTCAGCCGCAGTCTCAGCCACATAAGATTTTGGTTTCACAGACACCCAACAGAGAGTGTGAAAACAGAACGGGACCTTTGTTGCTTGAACTACAATAAAACTGCTAAGTTACACATTTTGTCATACGTAGATTCCTGGTTTTCAATATCCCATGTGTAGTTATTTATGGAGGAGAGTAGATAAAAATTCTTTTGTTTAGCAATAATGGTTGAAAATAATATTGGAAAATTATTTAAGATAAAGTAACAGGCATTGACATGTGCTTTCCAAAGGGTTTGTTCTTTTTCTTTCTCCAATTTTAAATAAAATTGACAATTCCTCTTAGCTTTATGAGAAAATAAATTTATCTACTCAAGAAAATTCCTTATATATAGTGTCTCCTCAAACAGGGAAGTCAGGATGTGCAATGTTTGCAACTGTGCTCATTTTGAACACCAATATTTTATTTAATTTAAGAAGACACCTAAGACAAGAGCTCTACTTCAGCCATTTGTTAGCTAGTATTCCCTTTAGAGACATTTTACGCCACACAGAAGTGATTACTGACATTTCAATCAGGAGCTAAATTTATATAAAACTGGGAGAGATAAAATCAGATGATATTGATTTTAAATTAAATCAGAATTTATTTGAAGATGCCTTTTGTAAAAGCAGAAGCTTAATATTTACAGCACTTTTATTGGTTGAAAGATAAAATTGATTTCAAAGGGCAATGATCATGAAATAACTGCTGTAATAACGTCTACAGCACAATAGGAATAAACATCTCATGATCTTATTTTTATTATTTCTGATATGTGAACATTTAAAAATATGAAATTGATGGTTTATAATTTAAGGCCACATATATACTCAAATATAGCAATGACATAGATGAAATAGATTAAGTCATATAAGTCATGGAAAATCGGAGGATTTTACAGTGTGTATCTGTGTTGGTACAGACATTTCAATGTGGATTCTTCACTGTTACAGTTCTCAAGTTGCAGCTGATGTTACTGTAACATATGAGTCTTTACTACTTTGCACATTTGCAGACACTTGTGTCTGAAACTGTATAATTTTACATTAACTAATGAACAGATGAAAACAAAAGTACATAATTTTAGAGCGATTTCACTATCAGTTTTTACCACATACATATTTTAGTGAATGCTGATTCCATCTCTTCTTGGGGAGAAAAATACCTTCCAATAATATCAAGATTATCACACTTACTAATTCCTTTAATTCTTAGAGGATAATCGTAGCCACTATAGGCACTATAGACACTACAGACACTATATATTAAAATTTGTATTTATTTATCTACTTTGAGAGGCAGATCCAGAACCAAGTAGATAGAACTCCTGTCTCATTCATCACTCAAATGTCCACATTGGCAGGGCTGGGCCCGGGTGACGGCACAAGCCAGGATCCCAACCTGGAGACTTAAGAACTGCAGCCATTACCAGCTGCCTCCCAGGGTGTGCACTCACAGGAAAGCCAAACCAAGGGCAGACCTGGGACTGGGGTCCTCCAGACACGGGACACAGGCATCCCAAATGACAGCTCAACAACTCTATCAAGTATCAGTCCCAAGGAGCTAGCACATTCAAATAAAAGAGCCCATTCTCTACTTCTTTATCCTATAAGTCGTTCTATGGAATTTTCACTTATATTGACATGTTTCTTTAATTTTTTTCCAGAATGAAAATATTGAGTGACATATTTTTAATATCATTCAGTATGATTTATACCATAATTCTTGAAAATCACTCATCTATATGAATAAATAGCAAGAGGAATATCAATCTGTATCACCAAGAATTTGACAGAAATCAATCCAGGAAAACGCTTTTTAGACATTGCAACCTCTTCATTTCCCTCCTCAGTAATTCAGCGATTACTGTTACCCCTAATTTACAATCACTTACATTCTGAAATCAATAAATGAATTAAGCACATATGTACCAGATAAAATCACCATTAAGCCACTAACTGTGGAAGACATCATATAACATTCTGGGGCAAAGATTTTAAATCAAATTTTCTTAAAGCCTTCTAATAAACTCAGAAATTCACTCTTAGAAATATAAACATCCATAGAATAGTCATTTATTGATTTATATAAACTATTTTAAATAGAACAAACAGATCAATACCCTTTACTGATAGTTCTTGCTTTCTCATGTGAACTTATCATTTTGGTAACTTCACACCCTAAGACATTTGCCTAAATAAATAAGAACTTTTACTATAACCACCTCACAGTCCCTGCCCTAATTTGCAGTTTTTGTCATCAAAAGAAAACGAGAAGTTCTACATTCTTGTTTGTTACAGCAC